CAATGGATCTATGTGATCGGCTTACCGCGCAGACCTCACCGCGGCGGCCGATGATGTATCCGGCCGTGCCTCCCCCGATCACCCTCTGCGCAGCAAGATTATGATCATGTAAAGGTGACTGGGCACCTGCCGGCAGCACTATCCTGAGAAGTGGCACAGTCGGGACTGCAGAAAGAAGATTCTCCACTCCAGAATACCGGCCTGCCTGATGGACTCTGTCCATCCGTCTCGGAGGGCTGATGCCTCCAGACGGCAGCTTTTGCCCCACCCGGAGGAACGAGCTGCCTGTTCCACCACCATCTCAATGACGCTCATCAGCGCCTCAGAACTTCTTCACTTCGGGCCTTACCTTCATGGTGCATGTGTGCCTGCTCTGCACCGCGGATGTCAATCACACGGTAGCGCGCACCCTCCTTGGAGACCTGTGAAGGCTTTCGATAGATTCTTGCCGGCCTCTGTGACAGCTTGTGACGGACTGTCGAACGGCAACTGCACGTCGGACTGGGCAAGAGACATCAATGCTAGCTCCACTTTGGGCACGTATTGCATTGATGGACCTCTGGGAAAGTAGCAGGCCTGTCTGCCTTTGCCCTTACCACCGTTGATCGGAGCGGGCGCGGTGAGACGTGACAGCGACAACTTCGAAGGCTCCTTGCACGACAAAGTCACGGCTATTTCGCTGAACAGTGGCTCAAGCCTGACGCGAAATGAAGCTGCTGCCCGCTGCTGTCGCCTTCGCTTCGCCATCTCCCCGTCCAGACCACCTCAAAGCAACGGGTCATTAGAAGCCGCAGCAGCAGTCGATGGCGTCGGCCGTGGGGTCGTGGTGGTAAACTGGTAGTGGTGGCAGTCGTCGAGTGGTAGTGGTGGTAGTGGTGGTGGTGGTGGTGGTGGTGGTGGTGGCCGTGGTGGTCATCGTCGTCGTGGTTGTGGGGGGGCGACGGCGGTGTTGCTAATGCTGTTGTTGCTTCTTGTTGTTGTTGTTGCTGCTGCTGTTGCTGCTGCTGCTGTTGCTGCTGCTGTGGTTGTTGCAAAATGTTGTGGGTGTGGCTCTTACTGTCGCAGTCACATTTACTGGCCACCTTTCAGTACTGGTACTACGCTTCCAAATTGTCCTTTATAGCTGCCACTGTTTGTCATGCCTGATGTTCACTACGTATCATTGACTTATCCACGTTCTACTTGTTGAGTTGCTGCGTTCGGCATGTCTACAGAGGAATGGCAATTCAGAGGTGCGATTATGGTTGTCAACCATTTTCCTGGCAAAAGGGAACTCAGTCTTCAGGCAACCCCGAGCCTGGTTCTAAGTCTTACTCATAAGCTAAGTCCTAGTGTCTATGAAAATGTCTTACTACTCTTCCTTCACTCTGCTCCGGTTTGAAAAAGATATTTGCTCTGAGTGGTTCGTTTGTCGTCGCTGCTGTGTTGTTCTTGACCTTATCCTATCTCGTCACACATCTTGTTGTTTTAACACTTGTTGATCGTGTTCTTATTTACGCTGTTGCACTACCGCCTTGCGGCATTGTGCTCGCAAATTACGAGCGGGCGAGTGGCGCAGCTGAGGGTTCGGCATTCGCACCGTCGGAGAGCTCTGTTGGATCTTTTCCAGAAGCGGAGAATCGTCGGCAGCCTCTATGAGAGATTCAGGTTTCAGGGTTTCGGGCCACCTCAGCCCGGCTTTCTTAGGGCCTTTTTTTAGTGTAGCGCTTGCCAAATCTGTCGCTGTCAAGACCTGAGGGCAGGACAGGATCTCCATCCACATCCTTCAGACGACATTCTGAAAGTTGCAGTCACGAGGCTCTGCAACCCTGTAGGCACATTACATACCTGCGAGGTACCCCAATCCTTGTCGGCTCTGAGGCACTGCTGTCCTGCAGAACCCGAAGAACCCGGTAGACGGCCGTGGTGCACCTGGCAGGAAGGCATGGTTTTTTGCAGATCTGCCAGGGGTCAGGGTCAGGGGCGCGAGGAGGCAACCGCGAAGACATCCGAGCTCAGACCTGTGTGACGACGAATTGTAGACTGGAACTTACATGCAAACTGCGGCGTCGGAGCCGCATCAACTTTTTCACGCTCTCACACACTCGGATCGGAGGCGTCGGTCGAAACGATAGAAAGATTTAGGCTCTCCCGCCAACATTGTCGATGGACGCTCCGGATCTCGTCTGCCAGTTGTGTTGGGCGCTTCTGCATGTATTCTTGGAACAGACCCGCATGAAGCGCCAATGTCAACAGGAGCCTCTTGAAATTGGAGAGTGTTCGTGGAGACTTCAAAGAACCATCGGAAACGCCGGACAGGTGCCGGAAGGTTCTGTGGTCGTGCAAGATCCTGAGGATTCTGAAGGTATTCCCCTCGTGTCTGTGTACATGTTCTTCTGCTTCTGCTTTGTCTTGCACGGCCACGTCGAAGCATATTTACAAGCGCAACTGCACTGAAGAGACGGAGTCTAGCAGAGCTCAATCAACGCTGTGATCTCGACCAGGTTGTCTCGGCCAACACCGCCAAACATATCAAAGACGGAGTCCTCTCTTGGCAACTCCAGCATGCTTTTATTCAAGGTGAAACGGCCAGAGGCCGTGCGCATCTCCCCGTTTGCAACTGAGAACCCGAACCGGCATGGCAAACAGCCCTGGTCTTTGGGCCCGGTGTCGCACTTTAGCTGGAAATAGCCTCTTCCGGCGGCCTTGTTGAAATTCTCACCTGGGTTGGCCGCGCTCCAGCCCATGGGGAAAGCGCCGATGAGAAAGCGCAGGACCTGGCCGTTACCTGGGTGGTACAACTCAAAGCCAGGTGAAATGATCTGCTTGTCGTTCGTCTTTAGCTTGCGGGCATCCACATACCACTTGACGATGTAAGAGCCTGCAGTGCCAGTGGCACGGACGTGAATGTTCTCCTCGTCGACACGTTGTGTCGTCGGAATGCCAAGGAGACGGGCCACTTCCGAGAGATATGCCGCGTATGCCGGAGTCAGCAAGACGCCCTGTGTCTGAATCCAGTATAAGTAGTCCAGCCACTCCTGCACAAAACGTCATTTTTTTCACAGGTCCCTTGAATACAGAATGAACAGATCGGTTGTTGAAAAGTTTGTCACTGAAGCGTCTGGTGCATCTGGTGTCACCCCATTAACTGAACAGCACCTCCCGCGACACAAGAAAAGAACCGAAATTTCACTGACACTGATCTCTGAAGTTTCTGACCACGGCGGTGCAAGCGATGCACGCGAAGATTCAAGCTCGAATTAACTAAAGCTACTACTATAGCTTCCGTCAACAACC